CCATAACATTATTTAATACAGCAGCCACAAATGGCATTATACACAATAGAGAAGATGAAAGACAAAACAAAAACAACAATAATGTTATGTTATGCTGCTACGACTTACGATATGAATTTGAGTGAGAGAGTAAGAAACTCAATGAATAAATTGTGGGTGGAAGGGGAAATCAAATGAGTAGGAAATGAGAGGAGAAAGTATGAAATAATAAAAATGCTAGTTTGTAGGAAGAAAAATGTTATATGTAGAATAGCATTAATCTATTTGCAACGTGTGGGAGAATATGCAAGTATGAACTAAAATTTACACAATTTTCCTGTTACTGCGTACCTTCCATATCTTAAAAATTGTTTTTGTAAAGTTCCATTAAATATAAATGTGCCATTTCATTTTTCATTTTCTTTCACTGTTTTTCATGCTGTTCATTTTCTTCTAGCAAAGCAGAAGCAACAAAAAATAAAATTTGGTGGTAGAAAAAGAAGTAGAAACTAAAATACGTTTGGTGTTTATATACTTGAGAGCAAGCAGAAGAAATATGTATGAAGAAAAACAACAATAAAGCTTGACAAACAAACAACATCGATGACAAAAAGCCATTGAAATCGATAAAATTTTCTTTCGATATATGAACGTTCATTTCTTTATATTATTATTATTATTATTATCCAGGATCGAATGAGATTTGTATATGAATTTTGTCACACATGACGGAAATAGATTTTTCTTGTTATGTAATTTGAATAATGGCATAATACAGCCTTAGTATATATGTAGGAGATAAATCAAAAAGCTTTCGAGAAAATTGATCCAAAATCACCAATCACAAATGTTCTTCTTGCTTTTAATTTTATCAATTAAGGTAGCGACTTTTGATGTGTGGTGATGCATAGACATGTTTTATTAGTGTTCCTTTTTTTAGAGAACGAGATGAGTGTTGCAAATCTCTGAAATAACGAAAATAAATCTAGAGCAGGATCCTCTTTTGGAATGCTCATGCTTTATCATTTAGGAAACAAATTTTGAAATGCAACTGAACAATCTTTGAAAATCAACTAATGTTACAAATTCAAATCTTAGTGGAAAACTAGACATAATATACAGTTCATAACTTAGTGAATTTTACGGAATGCTACCGAGAAAATGTTATTCCTTTTTTTTGTAAGGAAATCAAGCAAAATAACTGAAAATCTCCATAGAAGGAAAGTATGTGCCAAAAATTTTATATCTTTTGCAAAAAATAGATTTCGAATTGATTAAGGCATAATCAATGCCAATAAAATCGTAAAATTTTCTTTCTGTAAGTAAGCAAATGAGCCAGTTAATCAGCAAGAAATCTCAAAAACAAGACATTGTAGAAACTTTAGTTTTTTAGATTCCATTCGTGATGCCTTATAGATGCTCTGTATTAAGGTTTTCAATCCCGGGATTAAAATGTACTGAATCATATATAGTTTTTTGACAAGGTAGGAACAGGCTGAGCATAGCTCAGTCTATCCGTTAAATTGTAAAGTCTAAAACTAATGCTAAGCAAAGCTTGGCCTATTCACAAGACTCTCGATGTTAAAAAAATATATCCACAATAGGTTTCCACCCGATACACTAGTTTAGACTTGTTAGTGCTATCCTCGAGCTGGAATTTTGAGCCTCTTCAATCGCAACTTTCAAGACAAATGTCATTCATGTTCCAAATTGTTACTCCTCTAAATGAAGAGGTAATTGGGTTATAAAATGGGCCCCGACGAAAAAAAATTATTTGTGAGTGACGCTTTAAATCTTAAATATCTCTGAAACCACAGTAGTGAAAGTTATTTTATTTTGTAGGAAACAAAAATCTATTTCTATCTTTTGACATACAACTCACTTCCTAAAGTTAAGCAGTTATGTCGGAAAATCCCTTTAACTAAGCGTCACTCACGAATAATTTTTGGGTATTTTGCCATAACTTTGTCAGTTTTCATTGATATATCTTCAAATGTATTTTTTTAGATCAGAAATTTTATTCCCTTTTGTTTGGTTTCAAAAAAAGTAATAAATTGTCCCCGAAACATACTTAAATGAACAAAATTAAGTTTAAAAAATTATAACGGTTTTAATTTTTTTGAATTTTTTCTGTAGTGAGTTGTTTGTTTACAAACAAAAATTGAAATTAAATTTCAAAAGTCATAAAAATATCACCCAGTAATAATGTTAAAGCTCTTAAAATAGGCAGAAAAGCTAATGTATCATCTACTTTTCGTAATCATATCATACTATTTGGGAATAATGATTGAATAATTAAGATATTTGAGAATTTAATTTTTGATGTTTTGTAAGATTGTGTTTGTGAAATTCAAATTTAATTTTTCCGTTGAGCAATCCTTAAAATAATCTTTCTTTATTTCAAATTTGTAATTATTGTAGTTTAAGTTACATTTCTTTGAGTCTTATTTTGACACCAGCCTGAATATGGCTTTAATTCAACTATATCTTAATTAATTATTAATTTTGATGAATGAGATTTACATATATCATGAAAATGTGGCATTTAAAGTTTAAAAAAATTGCCGAGCGAGAAAAAAAAAGCTTTTTTTAAGCTTATGAACTAAGTTAATAAATTATTTTTGAACTGGCTTGTTCGGTGTAATCCTTTAAAAAAAAAAAAAAAAAAAAAAAAAAAAACGTCGATACCCAAATATACTTTTTAAGGATGCTGAATTTAAAAAATTTCAAGCTTTTTTTAAATCAAGTTATTTTCATTTTTGATCCAGTGAAATTCGTTTAGTAAGGATGAAAATCAAATGTAATGTACTGTAAAAAGATCCAAATAATACATGAAAATGCGATGCTGGGTTATAAGTCCAGAAACTATAAGTCCAGAGAATCAAAGTCATTAAAGGTTTATAAGTCCAGATACAAATTGCACCTGGACTTAAAAACCTCACGTCCAGTTCATAAGTCCAGGTACAAATACAGCTGGAATAATAAACTGCACGAGAGGTTTTTAAGTCCAAGTACATTTTATATCTGGACTTATAAACCTCACGTGTGGGTTAAATGTACTTGGACTTAAAAACCTCTCGTGCAGTTTATTATTCCAGCTGTATTTGTACCTGGACTTATGAACTGGACGTGAGGTTTTTAAGTCCAGGCGCAATTTGTATCTGGACTTATAAACCTTTAATGACTTTGATTTTCTGGACTTATAATTTTCTGTGCACGATTTTTGTACCTTGACTTATAATCTCTGGACTTATAACCCAGCATCGAAAATGCTTTCAAAAAATTCCAGCATTTTGCCTAAAGATGTTTGCGTAGCTTCTTCGCGGAAATTATGTTTATAAAGTATTATCTGAAATGAGTTTAAAGTGTTATCATGTTACTGATGCTTGTGCATTCTTTTTTGCCATCTTTTAAGTATATAAAGTATGAAATTCCCTTAAAGCACCTTGATCACTGTCTAGTAGATATTTATAATATTTTTATAAAAAATAGTCTTTGAAAACCAAATGGCTAGCTTGTTAAGGAAAATCAATAAGAAATAAAAGCATTTAACTTCTGAAAATGTGAATTAATTTAATAGATATACGTCTAAAGCTAATCTTGATGCAGAAAAATGTAAAAATAGAAAATGTTTTTCCGGAAGAGCTGGCTATCATGTTATCATTGCTATCATTCCATATCTAACTGCTTTAGAAAGAAAAGTTTTAATAAGAACTATGCAGTATATTTCTATAGCCCTAAACTATATAAATGTCTCAGTGATATAAAACTTAATATTTTTATATACTGCAAACAAACAAAGAAAACTTTCATAACTGTCTTAATGTTTGCTTTTAAATGGAACTTAATTTATAAACTTTCCCTAATTTTTGCTGTCAATATGATGAGATTTCAAGATAGCTTCTAGCAATGAGATTAAACATTTGAAGGAGAAGAAAAACTTTTCCTTTTAGCTCTTCCTCCTTATCCATCTATCTATCATATCCTTTTACTCTAACAAATTGTACCGTTTATATGAAATATACAAAAACGTACAATGATTTCTTTTATTATATATAATAAAGCAATCACAACAACAGTTGAACCAAACTAGAGCAACAACTTTCTCATTTACAATCGTATACTTTCTTCCATTTTCATTTTCATTCTTTTTTTGGCCTAATATGATCGGTTTCGAATATTGAAATGAAATTAGAGAAAAAAACACATATAAATTATAGATTCAACGGCTGCTTTTTTTGGTGCTGGGTTATGGAAAGAGAACACATAAAATGTGTAGGGTGAGGAGAGTTGAAGGACTTTTTTTCATATTTCATTTTCTACCCTCCTTGGCATGTCAAATATGAAATGCTATACGCAACTTTTCTTTCACTCGATTCCTATTTGTGAATAGTAAAAAAAAATACAGAGTCTGAATGAATCGCAAAATCGTATGCGAATATGAATGAGAGGTTCAAAGGTGAGTAAGAAATCTGAGGATATGAGCATGAAATAGGAAAACTTCCGCTTCCATTAAGTTAATTATGACTGAATGAATTAATAGATTTATAAGTCTTCACACTGTGATTTTCATTAAGAAATGTTTTATCGATAAATATGAAAGGGTGACATATTACTGCCTTAACTTCTACTACCTTATCGCTGTATTAATAATCAATTTTACGTCTTACAAACTCTACTGAAATTTTATAAAGGCTATGAAATTTAATTCATCACAAAATTTTCACAAAATACGGAACTAAGCGCGAGAAAAAAATCTAATGGAAGCAATAAAAAATTTCTCTAATCTGTAATTGACCTAAAATCTTTTTGAAGATTAATATTATCTCAGAACTTTTCATCTAAAACACTTCACATTATTATAAATTCATTTTCAATAAATCCTCTTTCACAGCAATAAAATCTGAACATTCTGCTTACACTGTAAAGTCTTTAAACTTTTTTCTTATGAGAGCTTATTTCTTTATTGGGACTTTCTTTATTATAAAAACTTATTAAAGTATTCCGAGAAAAGAAATTACCATTTAATGTGACGGTTCGGAATTGACTAAAGAACTGCTCAATCAAATGAACACTTTATCTCACAAAACTTTTCATTTTTACTACGCGTTTGCGCATTTTCCATTTTTTAATACATTCACTCACAAGAAGATTCTTCATCTCCTCTTCCTTTGTATGAAATTAGCTTTGGCGCCTAAAAAAGCATTGATTTGATGTCGAGCGAAAAGTTTTGGACATAATTTTGAATTTTTAAAAAATGGCACATGAGACATCTCGGAATTGCCATTGGAATATAAACAAAATAAATCATGTCCATGTCAGTCATACACAACAATCATAGTCCACTCATTCCAGTTATTAATTTAGTTCTACGCGAGATTTTGATTGAAACTGATCAAAATTTTACTTGCGCGTACTTTACTCGTTAATATTAATTTAAGCAGTCACAAAATCAGCTGATTGTAGATGTTTCTTACATTTATATAAGCATTAAAATCGTTTAAAGTCTTCTTATAATATGAAATTTGTGAATCATTAGTGATAAAAAAGATAGAAGAAAAATAAAATTGAATAATGGCAAATCTAAGTAAATTAACACAACGCAATGAGTTTATAGCTATTTCTGGTATTGCAGCTGCAGGAATATTATTAGCAATTAGTAAATATTCTCGAGAGCAAAGGTATTTACAAAAGATTTTAAACAATAAAAAATAAAAGTGATTTAAATTGTAAAAATGGTCATGAATAATTTCAAGATAATGCAAACAATGCTGAAAACTTAAAACACTAGAAGTGGCAAGCTTGACTTTCTTCTGTTGTTTAATATTGCATAACCTTCTTTCTTTTGGAACCTCAAAACATAATAATCAAAGGTTCGCTGTCATTAACAGATTTCTCTTATCAGATTTTTTTTTTCTGGAGTGAGCAAAAAAAATATTTTACAGCTTTAAATTGACCCTTGTTTTCATCACGCGATAAACTGAACTTGAAAAGAAAACTAATTTAGAATTTCAATTCCATTTTTGGCACTAGTGCTGTCATTTAATAAATAGAAGAAAACAAATTAATTCCAAAAATACATATGAACTTCGCATATATGCTTTCTTGTATAGAATGAGCATTAAAAGCAGTTAAAATTATTTCGTAATCACAAATAATATAGCTGTTCATTAGATTGAAATAAAAACCGGTTCAGAATAATGAAAATCAAAAGTGATTGAAAAATGCGAGATGGAAATTCAAACAATGTGATCAACACAGTTTGGGCAATATACTAATGAATTCACAAGATTTATGAGAGCATCCAAAGTTGTTTACTCGAAAATCATAAGTTGGTACCTTAACAAGCTTAAGCGTTCAACTGTGACGTCACGCAATGAGATTTGTTTTTATAATGAACAATATTAAGGCTGAATTAATGTGTTGAGCAAATCACACTGAGACATGAATTTTAAAGTAACAAAAAAAAACTTGTTTTTGTCTTGTTGTTGACCGCGACTTTTACATCTTCAAATTAAGATTTGCCAAACTAGAAACAAATGAATAAAATGAATGACTTGATATTTCTAGGCGAAAAAATTTACGACCAGAAGATAGAATTGAATATTTTATCAACGAGAAGAAGGACACAAAAAGAGTAAAAGCTCATGTCAATTCCAAATTCTTCAGTCAATTGAAGTTTTTGCTCGGTAAGTTGTCTACATTTATTACCTAATGCATAATGATGGTCGGAATTTTAATTATACCTATAACCTATGTAAATTTTATAAAATGTGCTTTATAGTAAATTTCAAGTTGATAATGACTTTTTCATTGAAAGAAAAAATGACTAACGAAGTAAAATATGAATGAACTTTGGAGTTCTACTTCTAGTTTATCAATTACATCATCATTCCTAATGATAAGCACTTTATCGCAATCTAAAATGTTCACCTGGATTCAGCAATAAACTCCATAAATGAACAGAAATCATTTGGACTTTCCAATTATCGAGATTTTATCTTAATATGATTTAATACTTCTTAATTTATTATCCAAAGAACTTAGCAAAGCATTATAATAGTGTGGCATATGCATAAATAATCAGGAGACGCAAAAAAATTCGCATGTGATTGAATACTTTAAAGATTAGGGCTCGTTCACTTATTACGTAACGCAAAAAAACGAGTTTTTAGACCCCCCCCCCCCTGTAACAAAGCGTAACAAAATCTTAGACCCCCCTCCCCCCCTAGTGCGTTACGTAATAAGTGAACGAACCCTTACCTATTCTAAATGATTTATTTTTGCTTGTTTTTTACAAAATGTTAATAAGCTCCTACGGTGAAGTTTCTTGGGACTTTCCAAGGTCTTTTAAAAATAAATTTTGACTGAAAACTTTTTGGTTAAAACTTAAATTTATTATTAAGAGGTTTTTAAAAAGTGAACGTATCAATTTTAAACCTGATTCTTTCAAACAACTTAAGACCTTACCTTACTTACTGTAATCATGTTCCTATGTGTAGCTAAGGTTACAACAAAAGGCTTTCCATCTGACTCTGTTGCTGGCTCTGTCAAAGCAAAAGCAACTTTATACGTCATAGGACAATTAATTCTAAAGAAATGAAGAATTAAAAAATTACAGAGACCAAAAGCTTTTGTCCCCAAGTTCAAGGTCTAAAATACACAACTAATAATAGTGTACGCAAAAATAATATTTACTGCTTAATGCTTTATTTTCATGTAACATTGATGCTAATTTTGATCGAAAAAATTATTCTAGGAATTTTGGTCCCAAAGAAATTCAGCGCTGAAACTGCTCTGTTAGTGGCGATAGCATCTTCTTTAATTCTGCGTTCTGTATCTGACATATGGATGATCCAAAATGCAACAGTTATCGAGAGTGCAATCATTACAATGAATAAACCTAGATTCCGAACTTCACTGGTGAAGTTTTTAGCTGCCATGCCAGCTGTAAGTACATAACAAATGACAGCTGTACAAATTAAATTTTATAACACCTTAATTTATTAGATTGCTGTTGTTAATAATGTGCTAAAGTGGAGCATAGGAGAATTAAAAATTCGCTTCCGAACAAACTTGTCAAAGTATCTCTTCGATCAATATCTAAAGTGAGTTGTCATTTAAATATGTATGTAGCATCAACACGTGACATGTTAATAACTTAATATTTTTTTAGGGGATACACATATTATAAGATGTCTAATTTGGATAATCGTATTGCAAATGCGGATCAACTTTTAACAACTGACATTGACAAGTTCTGTGAATCGACGGTTGATCTTTATTCAAATACTTGCAAGCCTTTACTAGACGTATTTATTTATATTTACCAAACTACAGCAGCCATTGGCGCCAAAACTCCTCTTATTATCATGATGTACCTTATGTTTAGTGGTGCTGTTTTAACACATCTACGTAGACCAACTGGAAATCTAACAATTCAGGAACAAAAACTTGAGGGAGAATATCGTTATGTAAATAGTCGAGTAAGTCTTTACTTCTTCATGCTGTTGAACGATAAATTTACTTAAACTTTTTCTCATAGCTGATAACCAATTCTGAAGAAGTAGCTTTCTATCAAGGAAACACACGCGAGAAACTTACAATTCACGCTAGTTTTAACAAACTTACGGCACACTTGAGGAAATTCTTGGAATTTAGGGTTGCTATGGGAGTTCTTGATAATTTAGTTGCAAAATGTAAGAAGACATGAAATATGCACTCGGTGCTAAGTATGATCATTTACCTTCTATTTACAGATATTGCAACTGGTATTGGTTTCTATGCTGTATCTATTCCATTCTTTGATAAAAGCAATAAACTACTCACCGACAATGCTGATGGTGAGCGATTGAGGGTATGTATTGATCCACAGAAGCAATTGAGTAGGAATTTCATAAAATCTACTTCTTACAGCATTATTATACGTTTGGTAGAATGTTGGTAAAACTTGCAGAAGCCATTGGTCGTCTCGTACTCGCTGGACGTGAAATGTCTCGATTAGCTGGATTTACACAAAGAATGGATGAATTAGTCAAGGTTCTCAATGAATTAAACAGTGGCAAATATGTGAGAACAATGGTTAATAATTCGATAAGTGCTGATATGGATATAGAAGTTGGTAAAGGTATAATCTCCTTCCAAGATAACATCATTAAATTTGATCGTGTTCCACTTGTCACTCCAAACGGAGACATATTGGTAAAGGAGCTTTCATTTGAGGTTCAATCAGGAACAAATGTCCTTGTCTGTGGTCCAAATGGTAAGACATTCAGTGTCTATAGCTACTATAGAGTAAACGTTTATAGAACAACAATTTAATTGTTTAACAAATTGATCCACAGGTTGCGGTAAGAGTAGTTTGTTCAGAATATTGGGAGAGCTTTGGCCATCATGGGGAGGAAAAGTAACAAAACCACCTCGTGGGAAACTCTTTTACATTCCACAACGACCATACATGACTCTTGGAACACTTCGAGATCAAATTATATACCCACACACGTATGAGGAGATGAAACGACGTGGAAAATCCGATCAAGATTTATACAGATTTTTGGATATAGTTCAATTAAGATTATTGGTACAACAACGTGAAAAAGGCCTTGATTCCATTGAAGATTGGATTGATGTGTTAAGTGGCGGAGAGAAACAACGAGTAAATAATTAATCTAATTTTGCTAATGTTTGCACATTGTCTTAAAAATTATTAAATTTACAGATTGCAATGGCACGTCTGTTTTATCATCATCCACAATTCGCAATCCTTGATGAATGTACAAGTGCTGTTTCAGTTGATGTTGAAGGAAGCATGTATGAATATTGTAGAGAAGTTGGAATCACGCTATTTACTGTGTCACATCGAAAATCATTATGGACTCATCACGAGTATTTCTTAAGATTCGATGGACGTGGCAGTTATGAATTTGGGAAGATTGATGTATCCAACGATCAATTTGGATCATAAAATGTTAAGTTAAATACATTCCTTTTTAAGAAAAAGAACAAAAATCATGGTCATAGGTTTCATGAAACATTATTGGAATTAAAAACTAGGTTTTATGGGGTTTTTAATGATTAATATTTTTTTTTTATTTTCTCTATGTGATGCATTTTCATTGAAATTATAAATTGAATTTAATAAAAAACATATGGTTTAAAATAAATTTCTAAAATTGCACAAGGTTTTGTCTTTTATTGCTCATTTCCTTTGTCACCAGATATAATTGTAGTTCATTGGTACAAAATTATTAGTTTCTACATATTGTGGATGATTATAGTATTGCCTATACTCTACGTTTGTGTTAATATCACGAGGAAATGGAGCACACGAGGCTAAATAAGGTGCTGGCGGTGGGACATGATTAGGTATATGATTTGGTATATTCATAGGTAAAGTTGGATAGAAAATAAAGTTGTTGGGATTATAATTAATTAAAGTTGGATATTGAGGCATGTATAAAGGCCAAATATACTGTTGCAAATAATATACAGGTTGTTGTTTTACATTCGAGTGCATCTTCATTTCTGCGACTGATGAGTTGTTTTCTGTGAATGCTATAAATTAATAAATTTTAGGGAATGCTTTTTAATGTCTAGCGATTATTAAAGGATAATTACTTGGAAAATGCTTCGGTGTTGTATTTCCAATTTTCATTTGGAAATTTTCGTCGTTATCAACTATATAATAAGGTTCTTCTACGTTTTGTTTGAATAATGAGTACTTCATAATGTCACTATTATCGTCGTAAACATACATGCAGCATTCCTATAATGAATAGCACAAAATAATAATTAATATCATCAATCTTACAGTGAAAAGTATATTAATATTTACGTACTTTAGCATGGGAATGCGTGCAATGCTCACAAAGATTGAAATGGTTAGGCGTTGATGTCCGTTCCAATTGAAAAGTTTCGAATTTTGTAAAGTCAACTGGATCTTCAATTTCACTTTTTGCAATCTTATTCTCACTTCTATATTCTGACTTTTTTGACAGTTTTGATGTTGTCTTTCTCTTCTGTGGCTGTTTATTTAGTTTTTTGTCATTGCCAAGAACAATATTTTCGTTAGACATCACGGGAATCTCAATTGCAACTGACGACAAAAATAAGAAAACAAAACAAAATGTTTTGCTTGAAAATTCCCAAATTTGATGATTTTAGAGCGTAATAAATTTGTTCTAAACAGGTAAAACAATAGAGTACCTGGAAATGCAAGAAATATGAATTGATACATTACATGACATGACAATAATAAAGTAAAAAGAAAAGAAGTAATTTAAATTTTATAGCTTTTATTTTTCTGAATTATTGTGACAAAAAAAAAGGAATAAAATATTTTTAAAGAGGTATAGGCAATGCTCGTACCAGTGTCTTTAAAACATCTTCGGTCTTAAATCGCCAGTTTGCAATATCTTTGCTAACTTTACACCATTCTTCACCATGTTTTGGCTCAGCTGCAATGCATCTCTTTAAAACTTCTTGTTGCTGCTCTTCGGTTCCCATAAGCAGCTCAAACTTATAGAAATATCCCCAAGCATCTCCAAAATCTGCATCTATTTTAATTGTTCTGTGAAACCACTCGCGACATTTTTGTATTTTTCGTTCACTCCAAAATAGTTTAGATACAGCAAGTAGGACATGTGGATCATGCTCACATTTTTTTAAAGCATCAACTGATTTAGACTTCCTTAATGGTTTTGATTCTAAGAAAATTGCTTCAGACCACAATTCACCCGATGTAGGACAGTCTTGAAGTGCTCGTGCCATTAAAGTATTGGCAATATCCTTCATTCCAGCACGAATTTCAACTCGAATTGCAGCCAACCATAAAAGTGCATTTTTGGGATTTTTTAAACGACCTCTTTCGAGAACTGATCGTGCCTTAGTTAAAACACCTCGTTTTTCTTCTAGAGCTGATAAAAGTAGCCATAAAGGAATTGAATTTGGACATTGTTTAAGCCCGTTATTATAAGCTTCAATAGCTGCATCAATTCTTTCTTTTTGTTCCTCTATTTGTCCTTTCATCATCCATAATTTTGGGAAAGATGGAAAAACTTTAACTGCTTCGTCCAATAAATTCAACGCTTCTTCAAGATTATTCAATCCCCATTCCAATTTTGCAGATTTCATCATGACTCGAGGTGTTGGAGCTGAACTGCGAGCTTTAGAAAGTAATTTCCTTGCTCTTTCATATTCAGCATTTTCAGATTCAAGTTTAACAGCTGCTAACCAAATTTCCTCTGAATTTGGATTAGCCTGAAATGCATAATTTAAGATACTTCTAGCAGCAGGAACATCTCCAGCTAGCCACTTCGATTTTGCTCCCATAAGCCATAAAACCTCTGCTTTTGGACAATTTTGGACAGCTTTTTGTAATAGTGTCTCTAAACTTTCACGAGTTCCATATTGTTTCTCAAAATGTGCAGCACGTAACCAAATACTTTTCTTTGTCGGAAAAACTTGTAATGCATGAGCATAAATAGCTCTGGCACATTCATATGCATTTTCTTTAGCACAATTATCAGCCTCATCTATCCACGTCTGTTTCCTATCTTCTTCCTCAATGCCAATACCAATAACTGATTTTATTACAGCTTGACATGTACGGACACTTCCTGATTTTTCAGATTCAATAGCTTCTTGAAGCCACTGTTCACGATTAATTTCAACTCCATTAGCACCAAGTGAATTTATGGCACGATCAATAATTTTTTCAACCATTGGTATGTTACCATTTGCTTCCTCTAATTTTGCAGCAGTTGTCCAAATTTGTTTATCTGTTGGGATATTTTCACGTGCTTTATTTAAAACTTTTCGGGCATTTTCATACGATTCTAATCGAGCAAGTGCTAACCACAATTCGACACTAGTATTACAACATTCTACAGCTCGAGATAATAAGATTCTAGCGTCATTTGGATTCTCTATTTCAACTGCTGCTTTCCATAAACGAACAGAATTTGGAATATGCTCTAATGCTTTACGAAAAACACGTCTTTTTGCTTTCGTTTCAATTTCCAAATCTGCAGCTTTAATCCAGATTCTTACAGATGATGGGATATGACGTACAGCCTGTGCAATTACTCCTTTTGCTGTTTCTGGTGGTTGTAAGCGAGCAGCTTCAAGCCACAAATCTTCACTTGTTGGATTAATTTCACATCCACGCATAATTAAATTACGAGCCATTTGAACTTTACCTGTAACTTCTTCTAAACGACTACTAGCAATCCATGCTGGTGGATGTTGTTGATTTGTTTCACGGACACTTTTGAGTAATAAACGAGCTTTTTTAATATCATTTATGTCACCTCCATAAGTCGGAATCATACTCTGCAAATCAGTCAAATATCCTTTTGGATCAACGACAGTTTGTCCAGTAACGGAATCAGAAACTTGTGACAATTTAACATTCATAAGTGTATTTCTAGCTTGTCCAATCTTTCGTAAATCTAAATCTCCTGATACAGTTAAAACACCAGGAACCATTGATGCTAAACCAGATGTTGGATCGAGTGTCGTAGCTGATTCCCCACCTAAATTTCTGGACAAAACACTATCAGGTAAAGGTGTAAATTTCTCAGCTCTTGGATTTCTTTGTTTTCGATTTCTTGCATCACCGACTTCTGGAAGTGATGCCCATTCTGATTCGGATACAGATGCTAATGTTCTTTTAATGTCTGAGAATTGTTGCTGGATTTTGGGTCTTTCCTGACGATATTGTTCTAAAAATTCTTTTTCTTTTTTCTCACGATATTCACGACGCTTTTCATCCATTCTCTTATCAATTGATTCATAAATTGCATCAGCTTCTGCATCATCCTTATCGTATGGATCTTTTGAGAATAATCCACTTCCTGAATATCCAGAAAATTCATCGTAATTTGAGTCATTTAAATCCTCATCATCTTCCTCTTCTGCTTCGTCCTTTTTCTTTCTTTTTGTTGGCGGTGCATGTCTGTCATCGGACACATCATTTTGATCTCTTGCTGGACCAATATCAGAACGAGTTGTAAATCCAGTTGCTCTAAATTGACAAATTAATATTGTGATTACTTATAAATCATTTTCTGAATTAAATATTAACTCTTACCCTCTGCCAACACCTGCAACATATCCCAAAGGAGCCGGTATACCCAAAAAATGCTTTTTATTCTTATTTGCAATGGCAGTTGATGACATTTTGCTTATTAATTATTTCTGAATTTTTTCTTATATTTTTCCAATGTTTACAAACGTTTAAATCCAGAGATGGTAAATCAAAACTTGGCTCTCAACTTCTGAAGTGTCAAAAGGATGCATTTTGAAAAATTTTCAGATTCATCAATTGTGTAAATAAGGCAGTTAATATATTACAAATAAGCATTAATTAAAATGTTTGATGTAATTGAAAGTAAAAACTTGTGCACCAACTCTGGATTTGAAATATTCAAATTACTCGTTAAAAAATTCAAAAATTTCAAAAACGTTACGAAGTGCTGAAATGTATCGCACACTACTGCATAGCACTGCATAGTATTAAGGAAAATGATATGTAAATATTATCTGCATATGTTTCAATCAATTAGCAATTGCGAAACACGTGTCTTGTTAAATAAAACAAGTAACCGTTATGGGCTACATTCAACCTTTTTTGTTCCATTCATTGACTTAAAGTAAGAGACCATGCAATAAATGAGATTGTAATGGTTGATTCATTAAATCAAGATTGTGATATTATAGATGCATTTTAAAATTTAAATTATCAATAAAGTTGAATAGAAATCCTCTCCGAGTAGCAAGAAATAAAATGAGAGAATTTTAAAAAATTGCGAGAGTAAGCACATAAATGAATGAGTACATATCTTCTGAATGTACAGTTCTTAATCAGCTGTTCATACAACAAGTTCAAAAATTACAGTATTTATTGGTGTAAAATAGTCGTTCTTTATTGTGAATAGAAACATAGTGCAATTTAATACTTGGATAATTAAGTTGATTCCATCATACACGACTATGTCTACATCATCACTTGAATCGTCATCACCGGAATGGCTAAATAAAGATTATGTTAAATTAATTTTATCAAAAATTGAAGTTCAAGGCAATCCAGAACTGAATGATTTCACAATAAGTGCTGGATCGGCACAAGGACAAAATTTCGCTGGAGTTATAATTCGCGTGTCCATAAAATATACGCTAGATGGAAGTAATAAGCATGTTACTGTAATTATTAAAGCATCACCCACTGCCGGAGCAGTAAGTGAGCTTTTAGAAGATCTCGATGTTTTTGGTGGAGAATTGTTCGTCTATAAAAACATTTTAAGCGGATTTAATGAACTTTTACCGAGCTTTAAAATAGCTCCAAGGTATTATTGATCTCCTTAAATACTTTTTAAATTTCGATAACATATCTGTGCAAACATTTATTTCGTAACTAGATTACTTTATGCCGATGATAAAGCTATGGTCTTAGAGGATCTTACTAAATTAGACTTTGAACTTGCTAACCGAAAAAATCATTTCGACTTAAACCAAGCAAAACTAGTGCTTGCTAAAATAGCTAAATTCCACGCACTTACAGCAGCATTGTACCAAAAAGATCAAAGTTCAATGGAGCGTCATATGATTTCAGCTCATGATGCTGAAGAGATGACTCCTCTTTCGTTCTTCTTTAGTGCTAGTTTACAAGAGTCTTTGGAAACTATTCGTAATTGTGATGACCTTCAAGAATACGTTCCATTTTTGGAGTCTTTTGATATCGTACAAGAAGAAAAGATTGTTTACACACGAAACGACACCGACAGATTTAGAGTTCTTAATCACGGTGATCTATGGATTAATAACATTTTCTTTAAATTCAATGATGCCAAAGAGCCGATCGACGTTTTGCTTGTAAGATAAGCTTAATTGCTGCATTAAATGACAGAGAAATTTCCCGAGCAGCACATCATGGCAATAGCATTGACTTCAATACTTCTTAAGTAGTTCTAGGGATTTAAACCTGTAGCTGACCTATTGATGATGTGCCGCTCGGGTTATTATATTAATGATTCATGCTTCTATTGCTATGTTAATTAAAATTATCACATATTTGGTATCGAGAATATAATTGTCAATTAATTTTAGGTCGATTATCAAGAAAGCTATTTTGGATCACCAGGTATTGATTTCAATCATTTTCTCTACACTTCCTGCAATTATGAGGTACACAATAATCACATTGATGAGCTGATCATGTTTTATTACAATAACCTTGTGGCAACATTAAAGCTGCTGAATTATGAGAAAATTCCGTCATTAAATGACATCAAATACGAGATAAAGAATAAATCCAAGCAGGGTTTAATTGCATTGCTATCCGTTGTTCCAGTACAAATGATTGAAAATCCAGAACATGCTAATCCTGAATATTTCCTCGCTGACACTGAAGAAGCTCAAGTTGTCAGGCGTGAGGTGTACGGAAATCCTCACTTTGTAGAGACACTTAAATTTTTCTTACCAAAGTTATCAGCTCGTGGTGTACTAGGACGCATTGAAAGCCATTACTGACAGTTAAATCATAACATTCCCAAAAGTATACATGCAAAGCTATAAATAGCTAAATATTTATAATTAACTGATATTTACATATTTTAATAAACATTAAAAAGTTTAATTCAGCGAATAAAATGTTATTGTTTACCGACAGAAAGCATTTCTTGCAGTTTTAATGATCAAAAGTAAGCTCTCACTCTCTTCTAGATATATGAAAATAAGAGAGGAAACTCACCACAGTTGTGAAAATATTGTGGTGAAAAAATCATTTGCGCAAAAGCATTTCCTTCACAGTTCCTCTCCTTTCTTTCGTAACATCGCTTGTGACCGTCAAATTATCAGTATATTAAATAGTAGAAAAAGTTGTTTGTAATTCAGAATTGATAACGATAATCTCAAAAAGATAGTCTTACGGTAGGTTGACTCTGTGATTTCATTCAGTTCCAATTTTTGTGAGCACCAAGACATTGGCAAAAGTGTATGAAAAAAAAATTTATGATGAAGAAAAAAGAATTGAGAACATACATTCTCTGAGTAACTGCGCATGTGCTGCAATTTAAAAATAAAAAACAGATGTTTTACTTATTTCGACTACAAAGAGAGCTCGATAATATATTATTGTTTGTTTTCTAAATAGTTCCTCTGTTATCACTACATGTCTTATTTAATAATAAGAACTAAATTTACTCATTAAGATGATCTTCCTTGTTTTTTATTTGGATGGCTCAATTTGCATTCTTGTTTACGTTAAATGAAATACTTTTGTGTATCGAGTTTCCAAAATTTGTATGTTAAAGAACAGTTATAACGGAATTCAGACACAGGACAATATTTTGATGATGAAATAATGCAAGCTGATTTGATAAATTGAATGTGCTTAAAAATTCTTGAAAAAGTTTAAGAAGTGAATATTTATGAATAATCAAATTCAGGGATGTTCTGTTAAAACATTTGTGTGTTCCAATTTCGGAAGCTTTATTTTACAAAACAACAAAACAATACTTTTGAAGCTTGTTGCTTGATGCAATTTGAGTTTAATCTTAAATTTGATCAACTTAATATACAGTACCGTTCAAAACTGTTTCCATGTTTCAAGAAAATTTTTCTTTCCAACATATTTCTTATAAAACGTAATATTTTCCCAACATGTAATATATCGTTTTAAAGCTTGTTTGTCAATTAAAAACTGTTTTTCAGATTTAATAAGCTAAAATACATTTGTATGGATGCAAACGTCACAACATTTGGCTTTAATTCAGTAATTTTTTGCAAAATTATGTGATTTAACATTCTTATATAAATATTTTAACAATGTCTAGCAACTTAATTTATGTGCTTTTATCTAATATTTTACTTGCTTTTTACTATAATATACAAACGTTAATCAATTAGTTCTGCTATGCATCAAAATTTGGAAAAACAATTATTAGCTCAAAAGTGTTTCCATGTGACAGTGTATATTTTAAGCAAAAAAATCTACTTTAATTAAATATTTTCCAAAGTTGCTTATCATTTTTAAATAGTTTATTAAACAAGCTTTAAAACGATATATTACATGCTGGGAAAATATTACGTTTTATAAGAAATATGTTGGAAAGAAAAATTTTCTTGAAACATGGAAACAGTTTTGAACGGTACTGAAGTCTCCCTAAGTTCATGATACATTTGTGTAAATTACAACCATCGCCGGGCCATTTGCCTCGATTCTTTAAAATATAATATAGATAATTGTCAGTAAAGTATAAAACGAACGTTAACTTAAACTTAAAACTTACAAAGGAACTAGATAGTGACAACATGAGAATAATGAACTTTTTGTCACAAAATTTATGATGAGTGGGAAGAGAGACTGGATTCTGAAACAAAATTACCACAAGAATTTCTCAGTCTGGTTAATAATTGTTATCAGATTTTAAAATTCTTTCACCGTAACTAATCATTCCACATTGACATTGACTTATTTAAACTCAATTTATATTGTGAAAACTACCCGGAACTCTGTCGGAAGATTTAAAAACAAATTTGAATAAATTCCGTGAACAAAAATTATTTTGATATCATCAATATCTGATAATTCTAATCATCACATGCTTAACTCTGTTGCTGTATACCCAAAGTTCTTACTTTTGTCTCACTTTTGATACTCTCTGTGCGCACTATACGTGTGCAATTCTCAAACCAATGCTCGCGAGAAATAAAAACATTAAGCTTTGCGTTTAGTTCACTTATTCTGTGTACTCAATTCGACCGCATCGCACGTACATTCAGAAGGAGTCGCGAAATAAGAAAAAAAAAAATAATAAAAAGTTAATTTATTTTTGTTCTATGTGTTGTAAAGATTAATTTTCTCATCGGAGCGAGCAAACGCAGTTGGGAACAAAGAAGTTTATATAAAAATAAAAATTGTGTTTGTCTGTTTTGGAGAAAATCTTTTGAAATAAATCAAAATCATTCCTTAAACTTTGGAAATTTCTAATAATTGTGTGGTAAGAAAATTTTGATCAAGTTTTTGCAGTCAAAAAAATTTGCACGAAAATCATGAAGAATCGTGAAGTGAAAAACTATTAATAGAGTGATTAATAATAAATGAAAACAGACCTGTGGATTCATGAGACAATGACATTGAAAATAATTTACTTAAATATCAAATAGAACAAAATAAAATGTACACACTTTACCAAACGGATCAATTGTGGTATTAATAAGAAGTTGTTCAACATTGATCTACAAAAAGTTCACATAAAATAATTAAATATTTAAACTGTATGGTAGCAACATTCATATTTCTGATCATAGATCTTGATGCATAAATTAAAGTGTGTGTACAGCACAAGCTATAGTAAATAGAACATAAAAGTCTCATGATTTGTGGTTCAAAAATAACAAGCTTCTAACTTGTTGACTATTCTTCTTTGTGTTTCCAACTGGAAGTGCACACAATAAGACTGGATTATGTGGTTTTAACTCCTGAGCTTACAACAAAGAGTTTGTCGACTTAATGTCTAGATAATTTATTTAGTACTTTTTTGTTCGACAAGCTTGCACATTAATTGAGGAACCATCTGCCTTTACATGACACGCGGAATTTAAATTTGTATTTTTTGTGTCTTTTCAAAATTATTTAAGTCACTTAAAAAGGAAACATTTGTGCGTTTCGTGACCTTAGCCTGTCATATTTTAATATTAGTTGTTTGAACAATTTTTAACGCTATTTCTGTGTTCTTATGTTCTTAATGAATACATAATCAGTTTCTTAATTAATTTAAAGGTTGACAATTATGTACACTAGAAATGCTTTGCTTTTTAAAACGACATGTGTTCAAATTTCAAATTTAATCACTTTCATTAACTACACACTGCTAAGTACGCATATTCTTGGGAATAAATCATAAATTACGTTCTTGGTTTAAAAAGAATAGAAATATTTTGATCAATTGTGGCAAGAAACAACAAGGGTTGGGGCTGGGATGGTTCAAAAATTATTTTATTGTGTTACTAAATTTATGAATCGCCCCAAATCATTTATTAGATAATTATCGAATATTAATATCAATAAATAAATGATTTAAAGCTACTGCTTTAATACCCCACAAAATTTATCGACGATTTATGTGTTCGACATGCTATTAAAGTGTATAGGTGGAATTAAATTTAGTAAATTTTGTACTTCTTTCCTGCTGTTCGATTTTAGAGATATTAAAAGCATAATATTGACTTTTCTGGATCTTTACATGCGTCATTAATTACTAAAATACAAGCAAAGAAATTAAATCTTATCAGTACTCAGTAACATTTGAAATGAACTTTACAACCAACACAAAAAAAGCCTTTACACCCGAAAGCTTTAGTGTCAATGAGATTATAATAAGTCCTATTTATAATTGTGAAATTCTCAAGGACAGAATTTTTATGGATTACTGATAAGGAACTGATTTGAGGGTAAATATTTGTACTCTCAGCTGATTGAGCTATTTTTGAAGTATCGTCGTGCTCCAAAAATCATCACTGACTTGTTTAACATTTTAGCACGATTGATAAACATCAGAACAATAATGTGTCACAATTCTAGCGAGCTTAATAGAAAATTATCATTATTCATGCTTCCTGATAAAATGCGTCACAATTTTATTAGCACATTAAACTCAAGTGTTGGACATAGAGAAATGATTTGCATTTTTTCAAGCTATAATTTATTTCCTTTAGATTTCTCTCGAAGTATTAGAAAGCGCGGAAATTGAACTTTTGTCATCAAGTCTTGCAGAGGCTTAGAAAATGAGCCTCCATCATTATTACGAGATGAACATAAGTCACATTATAATATGAATCACGTCATTTACATCACTTTTATATACCTACAATTATTATTCTGTACTTTTTCTATCTACATTATTATTATTATTTTCACAATTTTGCTCCATTGGCATCAGAGAAATCCGTGAACCACAAAACTATTATTAGAGATTGAAAAGAAAAAAAAAACTTGTTTAGCAAACACAAATGCATTAAATTGCACTCTGTTGCATAAATGTTGACGGTATTGACTTAGACTTTTAAACTAAGTTTTTTTTTCTCAACTTGAGGCACTTTTTGCCATCATTTACAAGGCATGAGCAATGTTCTTGCAGCAAGTATCATGAACAGTTTCACTTTTTATGTACTTTAAGCAAATTTCTATCTTAATAACAGAATTTTTTTGCTGTTTTCCACATAATTGCCTTATTTAATGAGCAGCTACTCGCCAAAATAATTACTGCACATTTCCTAAGATAATATTTGCTTATAAATCACGATTAGCTCACGAAACAATGTATTAATCTATTTTAACAATAACAACAACTCGTGCAACACGAAGAAAATTTCAGAATTATTGCTGTTAAACTGTTTGAAGCATTCGTTTACTATTCAAAATTGCTTTTATCAAGCATATGATGAATTTTGTATTCAAGCATTTCATTCGACTTTGTTAAATTTTGACGACTAATTTTGTCATAAAATATTAAGCGCAATAAAAAAAAAATTTAAGAGCCCCTGTGCAAGATTGGAATTTAACTTTAATGATTTTAAAAGTTTTTTATGACATAAATTATAACAAATGCATTTAGTTGATCCTACTAGAATCAAAATTGCCTGGCACCACAAAATTTCAAAAAAATAAATTTTTGTATGAAACTTAAAGTCATAATTTTTCATTTTTTGATGCAAGACAATTCAAGGAGGTAGGCTTTATTTTTGAAAAAAAAAAATATTGAACTCACCTTGAAAATGATTTTATTTGATTTCTCATAAAATCTTAGACTCTCTTCTTACTCCTTTAACCCATTCTCGAGAATTCACGTAAAATCAAAAAATACCCAGCAAAACGAATAAAAAGGCATTTAAGTGATCATCACTGATTGCTGATGATTTCAAGTCAATAATTTTGAATATTGTCAGTTGACAATGCTTAGCAAGAGCCTAACAAATAGCTTATTAATATGACATATTCACGTGTAGACAAATTACTCGCAATTTTTTTCTACCTCAAAATCAAATATCAAACAACAATCGCCAAAAAAAATTATTGCTTCTTAATAATCATGACCTTCACAATTGAAGGCTGAACAACGGATCCATAAGATGAAGTGTTTTAATATTTTTTTTTTCTTCGAATATTCTTCATTTAAGCCTCAAGTGTAATACACATGCACTTTAGTTTGTGAATGAACACGTCTTTTAAAAATAAATCTCTTTGAGATTTATTCCGAAATTAACTTCGAGAAAAGACACTGTCCACACCTAAAATGTAAATTTATGCATTGTAAAACGTCAAACGCAACTTCCAATAGTTCTAATAATTTAGAATAGATGCTCAGTTGATATTTAAGAATTTTGTAGTCAAACTCGACGACAAAGAATTTATGACGAGCATCAAATTGGATATGTATAATGATTTTATAGTTCTGAGTGGTTCTGAGCTTATGATTCAAAATTTATTCCTCAATTTGGGGATTCCCACATTTTGAAACTAAAATTTTATGCCTAATTTTGTGCAAAGGTCGAACGTTTTGCGTAAATCATTTGGGATCGAAGATTTTTTCTGATTTTTTTGGAGTACCCAAGGAGATTGAATAGTTGAGCAACAGATGAATTTGGATCACCTCCTCTCCTGTTACGTCATAAATAAGAATCAACTTTTCTTTTGACTACTGTCATCCATGATGTCTTTGGCACAGAATGTGCCTCCTTGGCTAGGTATACAAGGATATACCAGCATCTGGATGACTTCCTTGCGGCATCTTGCGCACACGAATTGTGACTAGGTATATTGCAAGGTACATCAGGTCTTATGACGTACTCGTGTCTTTGCAATGTGCAGAGCTTGCAAGTGGTTCGGATCCCACTATAAACTGTAGGTCTAAAGGGTGTGGTACAATAGATTCTGTTCTAATTTGAGTCGCAGTGCCTCCAGCTGAAAGGCTGGACCATTCACACATTATTATTATTATTATTATTATTACTGTCATCCATATTGGGAATATACTCACAGCACTTGGCATTCATTCATAAAAATAAGCATTTTCTAAGAAATAACTCAAGGACGTATTGTTATCTCCTATTTTGGGACGTAACGTGTACTTTGTTTTGTTTCTATCAGTTTCTGTAAATAATAATTTCCAACAAGTCATGGTACGTAAAAAGAAAAGCCATACAAACATAAAAGTATTACTTTCAACAGCTGTAGGTCATGATAATTAAAGATTAGTATAAAAACACACATACACACACTAAACAGTTATGCTGAAATGCACGCGATAATGATTGATTATGAAAGCAAAAGCGTATGTCACTTTATAGTCACATAATTCCGCAACTTGTATAATTTTCTTCTCTTTCATCCATTACAACACAGAGAATATTTTTCATCGTTAAAGAAACCGATATGCCGCAATTGAAATTTTCTGCTAATTTAGAGCCAAATACTTTTAAACATACAGCAGTACTTAATAGTAGTGATGATGATTATGAAAAAATTGAGTAATATCGGATTGAATTTTTTTTTCTACCTCACAATGGTCTTTAATAGACTTTTGAAAGCATTGAATTTTAGCTGGTAAAGAAACGCTTCGATTGCCCTTGAATCAGCAAAGTTAGAAATTTTATGGGATTTTTTTTAAGTCTAAAAACGCGGTGAAGCATTGAGCGCAAAAATGAATTATTATTTTTATTTCTTTTTTTATTATTTTATATATCTACGGTACAAACTTCAATGTGAAGGTTCCACGTGCTTTTCTATTATAGCAAGAAATCTTTTTTAATCTGCTCAATAATTTAAAAATACCAGAATGGTCAAAAGCTAATAGCTTAATAAATTGTTTCTAATTCAATGGGAACTTGGGGTTCATTCACAAGTGATATTTAAATTTTGGCGAATTATTATCACATCGACTCGATATAATCACTCTTTATAATGATTAAGAGATCAGTCTCTTGTAAGCATTAAATATCG